ATAGACATAGAGATGTAGATATCAACTTAGATATAAACATTCATATAAAGATGTAGATATAAAAATAGCCATAGATATAGACAGAGATATAGATATTAACAGATATAGACATAGAGATGTAGATATTAACATAGATATAAACAAATATTGATATAGACATAGAGATGTAGCTAATAACATGGGTATAAACATATAGATATAGACATAGAGATGTAAATATCAACTTAGATATAAACATTCATATAGAGATGTAGATATAAACCTAACTATAGATATAGACAGAGATATAGATATTAACATAGATATAGACACAGAGATGTAGCTAATAACATGGGTATAAACATATAGATATAGATATAGAGATGTAGATATCAACTTAGATATAAACACTCATATAGAGATGTAGATATAAACATAGCCATAGATATAGACAGAGATATAGATATTAATATAGATATAGACATAGAGATGTAGCTATCAACATGGGTATAAACATAAATATAGATATAGACATAGAGATGTAGATATCAACATAGATATAGACATAGACATAGATGTAGATATAGACACAGACACAGACACAGACACAGATACCCCCTGTAAGCTTGGGCATCAGGGCAGCCTAATGAATAGAGCACTGGGCCTAGAGTCAGGAAGACTTGAGTTCAAATCCTGCCTCAGACACCTACAAGTTGTGTGACTCTGGGCAAGTCACTTAACTTCTCAGTCTGCCTCAGTTTCCTAAACTGTAAAATGGGAATAATTAGAGCACCTACCTGTTGGGGTTGTAGTGAGGATCGAATGAGATAACGTATTGTGAAGTCCTTTGCAAACCTCAAAGAGCTTTGTAAATACTAGCTCTTATTGCTGTCATTTTAAGCTCCTTGAGGGCATGGGCCATTTTGTTTGTCTCTCTATCCCTAGCCCCTGGCACAGTGCCTTGTTCACAGCATGCATTTAATAATTTGTTCTGTGAAGTCTGGATTCAGTCAAAGGGCTGCACTTGAGGACCTAGAGGGCCACATGTGGCCTGGAGGCTGCAGGTTCTTGCCCTATGCCTTGTGCCTGTGGGTACCTGGTAGGTGCTCAATAGAGGTTTAGATCGACACAGCATGTGAGGAGGCTGGGGCGAGCTCTCTAAATTATGATACCAGTCATAACAACTCAACTTCATAACAGCTCTCCCAGGCTATCCCTAACTACCACCATTGGAGGTGGGTCACGTGGGTGGGCGGCCGCGACACTTATAGGTTCAGAGAGCTGAAGAGGCTTCTAAGGGTCAAAGGCAGCCTCGAACCAAGGTCTCTCTTGTAACTTTTCCCATAACCACAATGCCTTCTTCTGGCTGACAGACGGCTCCTCTTTGAAACGCTTTCAAGCCCTGGGAAGGAATTGAACTCTGCACCTCAGCCTTCTTTTTCACCATGCATTCATTAATCAACAGGAATTTTTTTGATCAACCGATCTTTAATCATCTATTTAAGCCCCTACTATGTGCTAGATAGTGGAAAATACAGAGATAAAAGTGAAAACAGGCCCTGCCCTCAAGGAGTTTACAATCTAACAGGGAAGAAATAGGGATAGGGCCTGGCATAGAGATCCCTAAGCCTGTGATTTCATAATAGGGGGATTCAGTGTGGGTACAGAATAAATACAAAGTGAATTTTTATTGCTATCTGGTTTTTACATTCCCTACATTCCCCAATGCATCCCACTCTCCTCTCCATCCTAGAGGACATATGACATAAGACATATGACAAAGAATAGAAGGGGGGAGCAGCAGAATGAAGCAACACCAAAAAAGCCTGATGGAATAGGCAGTGCTCCGTACCCGAAGAGTACCGGCTCATACAGTACTAAGGGAGAGTGCTTTCATCTTGGCAAATGTTGATGAAATGGCGTCCAGTGACATGGCAGATGATGATCCTAGGCAGGCACTGAATGAGCGAGGTCCCTTCCCCAGATGCCCTTGGCCTTCTCCAATGGGCAGGTTGCCGAAGTCTGTTCTGGACATTCTCCCAGTATCCCAGAGAGATGGGGGCAGAGCCCAGGGTTGGTTCAGTGCCTGGGCAGAAATGTTGATTGGTGGGGATACTGTTCCAGGACACTGACCTCCTGTCCCCCGGGATCCTGGTGAACAACACACACTGCGCCGGGGGTAGCAGCAGCGGCGGAGGTGGCAGCGGCAATGCTGGTGGTGGCGGCGGCGGCAGCGTCAGCTCTAGTGGTGGGGGTGGCGGTGGCAGTGGCGGCGGCAGCGGCAGCGGCAGCTCCAACCTGGAAAGTAGCCGTCATCTGAGCCGAAGCAACATTGACATCCCCCGCAGCAATGGAGGCGAGGACCCCAAGAAGCAGCTGCCCAGAAAGAGGAGTGATTCGTCCACTTATGAAGTGGACACTATAAAACAGCATCAGGCCTTTCTCTCCAGGTAATGGGGGGGGGGGAGGCACTGGGTAGGGTCATCCCAGGACTTTCTAAGATTAAAAGTTGGAATAGCTCAGAGGCTCACTGTTCCCCTTTCTAGTTGATCCATGTGGGGGTGATTATGTTAATCTGAGGTCTGTCCTGTTATAGACTGAAAGAACCAGGAGGGATTTTAAAGTCCAACCTTCCCATTTTACAAATGAGGAAACTGAGGCACTGAGAGGTAGAGTGACTTGTTCAGGATCACACAACTAGTAAGCATCCAAGTCAGAATTTGAACCCAGGTCCTCCTGACTCCAAGCCCAGTGCCCTTACTACTGCACCATGCTGTCTTCTCCAACAAAATTAATAGGATGGCCCACCTTTCTTGAGCAAGTTAAGGCTGGCAAAGGGCTTTCTTCATAGCAGCGCCATGCCCTAGTTCAAGTGGCCCATTTGATAGATGAGGATACTGAGGTCTGAGAGATGTTAAGTGATTTGCCCATGGTCACACAGCTATCTTAATGGCAGAGTTAGGATTCAAAACTTGGAATCTAGTGGTCTTTCTACTACACCCAAAAGAAAGAACTTTCCTCACTTTCCCTACTGCCAATCCTCCCCTCCCAAGCCTCCTTGGTGATGCTGAGTTGGGTTTCGCCAGCCCAAAGGATGTTGAGGATCAAGGCGGAAGCGCCCGGGTGCTACCCACTTGTGCATCCTACTCATGGCAAAAGATGTTGTCCTATAGAATGTGAGCTCCTTGAGGGCTCCCCCAGTGCCCAGCATATCGTATACACTTAATGAATTCCAATTATTGATTGATTGATCGGCCTGCCCCCCTAGCTGAACCTTTCCCTAGAGCAGACTGTTTTCCATTCACCCGGGCGAATGGGACCATGCTTGGTTAAAGCCAGGCTTTCCTTCGGGGACCTCTTCTGGGGTGAGCCTGGCTCCCACTTCAGCTGCACGGGCAGGAGATTGGCCAGGGGCTGGGCAGCACAGTTGGTGTCGTTCCTCGCTGACCCCTAGGTTGGGTGGTGTTGGCAAGCTCTGGTGGGTAAGAGCCTCAGGACACGGCCCGTCTCACGGGGGCCTGACCTCTCCCCTGCAGTCTACACTCCAGCGTGTTGCGGAATGACCCCAGCTCCCGTCGCTCAAGCAGCTCCACCATGCTGGATGGAACTGGAAGCCTTGGAAAGTTTGAATTTGAGATCTCAGACTTCTTCCTCTTTGGCTCCCCCTTGGGGCTGGTTCTGGCCCTAAGGAAGACGGTCATCCCCACCCTGGATGGTGAGTCCCCGGACCTGAAAAGGGGAGCTGGCCAGGAGTGGGCCCTCAACTTCTCCCGCTTTCTCCCCAGCACCAAGGCCAAGGGCAGAAACCCACCAGGGGGTGCCCTAGACCCCTCGTGGAGGACTGGCCTGCCCTCACGTCTCTCTTTTCTGTTTGCTCCCCAACCCCATACGCCTTTATTACTGATCCATATTTCCCCTATAGCTAAATAATTATAATTCTGTTATGACATCTCTGTCATGTTGGAGCAGACCTGCAGGGTGGGTATTACTCCCCCATTCTCCAAGTGAAAAAACAGACTCTGGGCAGATAGTAGGTTATTAAATTGAGAGAAGTCACATGTAGTCAAGCCCCTCCCTCCATTTTCAGACTTAGAATCATCATTATCACTATTACTAATATTTTTAATCAGCAATAGCGCTGATATACTGCTTTAAGTTTTGCAAAGCACTTTATAGGTGTTATTTCATTTGAGTCAGGGCTGGTCCCTTGACCCTGAGAGCCCTGCCCCCAGCCCACTTAGCCTCTCTTTTTTTCCCTCTGCAGTCTTTCAGCTTCGGCCCGCCTGCCAGCAAGTGTATAACCTCTTCCATCCTGCGGACCCCTCGGCCTCCCGTCTTGAACCTCTCTTGGAGAAGAGGTTCCATGCCCTGCCCCCTTTCAACATCCCCCGCTACCAACGCTTCCCCCTGGGCGATGGCTGCTCAACCTTGCTGGGTAAGGGGACCCTTTCTCTGTCCTAGATAGGACTGGCTCCTCCCAGGTACCCTCTGGTTGGTGGGTCTGGACTTCTGCTGCCCTGGTTCCCCCCTCTTTCACCCAGGTCCATCTAGCTCCCACTACTGGGCCTGTTGGTCACTTCTTCCAGGCCAAGCTTCCCTGAGACAGCTCAGCTTGCTTAGACCACTTAGCACTGCTCTGTCCTCTGGGGACTGTCCACATGCCCAGGCTTCAAACTTCTCAGTCTTTGTCCCTTCTCAGAACATGATGCCTTTCCCTCTTCTGGCCCACGTGGGGCCGGGGATGAACCCATCGTCTGCTTTTCATTCGTCTCCCAGCTCTAAACATCATGGCAGGAAGACGGATGGAGTAGCCTGGGCCAGGAGGAGGAGGAGGGAGTATATCCTTAATAAATAAGCAGTCTGGATCCTTGGGAATCCCAGGAAATCCAGGGAAATCCTTTCCTTCCTCTGGTCAGTGCCACTGTCTGAGACCCCTACAGGGGGAGACCCAGAAGAAATAGAAGGTGCATCCCTCTTTTGAATTTACCACTGGACACTCTCAGGGAAAACCTTTAAGCCTTCCAGCTGAGCCACTGACCAGTGGCTTCCTGTGCAGAGGGCAAGGAGGGTGATTACTGTTAAATTGTTTCAGCCCCTCTGAGTGCATTCCCATGAACCTAGAGGATGGAAGGGGCTGCCCAGGGAAAGTTCACGTGGCTAGTGACAAGCCCATGACCCCGGCATCCCTGCGTATGCTCTTAATACCCCCCAGCTAGGGTTTCTGGGAGCAGGCCAAGCTTGACCCACCCCCCACCATCTAATGCCAGCCGTTCCTACATTCTCCAGCTCTATGTGTATTCATTCTGTGTCCATAGCCAGTGCTGACCTGGGTCCTTTGTGAAAAGACTCCCTCGTCCGCCTCTGGGCACTGTCTGGTTCTTGTGCTGTGTTGTTTGGGGGTTCGTGTTCCGGTGCCAGGGGCAGCTGGCCTGTGGGTGAAGCCCAGGGCATCCCTGGGGAGCTGCCCGCTCAGGATTGTGGTCACATGCCTGTGTGTTCTTGTCCTCTCTGTTCTCTTCCCTGTCTGCTTCTAGTCGAGACAGTACAGAACAACCCTGTGCTACTCCTGGAGGGCGGCCCCCTGGCTACCCTCCAGCACCAGGACAGCTTCATGGAAACCAGTATCCCCGTTCCCGTGCTGAGCTGCCAAGATGGGTCCAGGAAAAGTTCTGGCTGTGCTGAGTGTGTGTAACGCCCCTCTCTCCACCCCCACCCACCCCCCTGCATCTGTGGAGTGTGCTGGCTCAGGGCGGGAGTGGGGGGGGCCCTCACTGGCCACATGAGGCTGAAGGCTTTTCCCGGGGGCTCCCCCTTCCTCCATGATCACAAGGTCACAGATTTATAACTAGAAGGGACCTTAGAAGCTATCTGGTCCAGACCCCTTCATCTTCTAGATGGGGAAACTGAGGATCTCAGAGCAACTTCAGCCAAGAGAAGCAAAGACATCCTTTTTCACTTAAAGGAAGCTAGGTGGTGTAGTGGATGGCATTCTGAACTTGGAGTCAAGAACTGAATTTGAATCCTGACTCAGATACTTACTAGCTGTGTGATCCTGCGCAAGTCACTTAACCCTTCTCAGCCTCAGTTTCCTCGTCTGTAAAATGGGGATAATAATAGCACCTACCTGGAAGTGTTGTGAAGACCAAATGAGCAAATCTTGAAGCGTGACAGCAATGCTTGCTTTTATTTTACTTGCCAGCTGGAGGTGGGGAGGGGTGTACTCGAGCCTGCTCCTGTCCACTACATGTAACTGACCAAAGGAAGCCAGCTCAAACTCTGAAGGGCAGCTCACTTACTGCAGGGGAAAGAACACTAGATTGAGAATCAGAGGGCCCAGATTCTTGCCTGGTGCCGCTAACTCACTGTGTCTGCTTGGGCAACTGGCTTCCCCTCTCTAGGACTCAGTTTCCCTTTGTATCTGATGAGGGGATTAGATTCATTGTTATCACTCTCCTTTCTAGAATACTTTGAAACCGTCAAAGCATTTTCCCATCCCACCTCTTCTGTAAAGTTCACTCATGACAAGCTTTTCCAAGAAGTGCTCATTTACTTCCTCCTACTCCATTCAAAGTTCTTTCCTCACAACAACCCTGTGATGGAGTGTAGCATATTCCTTGATATCCCCATTTTCCAGATGAGGAGACAGAAGCTGAAAAGTCAAGCTAGTAAGTGTTGGAGCTAGGATTCAGGCCCAGGTCTCCAGAAAGCCCAAGTTCAATATACTTTTCCACTATACCACCCTGTCTCCTGGGTCCCTTCCAGCTCCGGTGCTCACAGGTTCTGTGGGAGGAGGGGAAGAGCAGCTTGCCTCTCTGGGCAGGTAAGAACTTAGGAGCTTCTGCTGAGCAGCTAGCTCTTCCCTTCCCTTCTTCCTTTCCCTCCCCCCAGACCCTCTAGGAGAAGCCTTCAGGCCCCAGGGGTCCCCACTGGTTGGTTTGGCTTTGAGCTCAGAGACAGGCCCCCCGCCCCCCCATCTCTCTCTCTCTCTCTCTCTCTCTCTCTCTGTGTCTCTGTCTGTGTGTGTGTGTGTGTGTGTGTCGGTCTCTGTGGCTCTGTCTGTCTCTGTATCTCTGTCTATCTCTCTCACTCTGTCTTGTGTCTCTCTCTGTGGCTCTATCTTTCTCTCTGTGTGTTTCTGTCTCTCTCAGGGATGCTGCATGGCTCTGACTGGTGAGGCTGCAGACAGCCACTTGCCTTTCTTGGCATCTTCTCCTGACTTGGACCCTCCCTGCATCTTCTCCCCCCAACCCTTGGGACAAAGAGCTCCCCTGCCTTGTCCCCAGAGGCTCCCTCATTGACATGGGATTGGGGGAAACCTGGAGACGAGGTAGGGGGAGAAGGGACCAAGAGGTTCACATGGGCAGGAAAACTAGAAACACCCTCCCTCTCCACAGGATCCTTTTTATCATTTCAGCATAAAGGTCAGTCCAGACTGTCTTAGCTCAGGGTTTTCTGTGTTGCATCCTGAGAGTCAAGAAGTCGATCAACATGGGCCAGAGGGTCCGGAGCTCAGACACCCAAACTGGATATATTCATAAGAGCAGGGAATGGGCGGCTTGGGGGATTCATGTCCCACCCAGCCTCTGCCTGGGTTCATCCAGATTATTGGCAAAGTGGCGTCAGTCTCTTCAGCCCAGTACTGTGCCCTGGGTCTGGGGTCACCTCGGCAGGGAATGTCCCCTGGTCACCCAGATTCTGCACTTTCACCCCAGTCCTCTCCTTCACATGGCTGGATTATTTTCGTTTTAGAAGTCAGTAGGAACAAGGTGGAGAGGTGCCTTTGCAAGACAGAGAGAGGAGTCATTAAGAAAAAGGACAACAGAGCAGTGAGGTGGCACAGTGGATAGAGCACTGGCCTTGGAGCCAGGAGGATCTGAATTCAAATGCATCCTCAGATACTTGACACTTACTAGCTGTGTGACCCAGGGCAAGTCACTTAACCCTGATTGCCTCACCAAAAAAAAAAAAAGAAAGAAAAAGGGAAACGTGCTTCTTTAGGGAATTTCTGTCTAGCACAATGGGTCCAGGGGGGATAGAATGCGGGGAGTCAGGCAACCCAGATGTCACCTGTTCTTTCCCAGGCCTGGGACAGCCCCTCAGGCCTCCTTTCCTACCTAGAACATGGAGGTGGGGAGAATCAGAGGATCCTAGGTTTAGAGCTGGCTGTGACCTGAAAGGCCAGTCAAGTTCGAGAAGAAGAAACAACTCCGTGGGGGTAACATGGCTAGAAAGTGTCAGAGACAGGATTTGAACACAGCCTTCCTGACTGCCTTCAGCTGCCATCCTCTGAGTATTGTGCCAGGCTGTGTCAGTGCTAGGGGGAGTGGGGTACAGAAAAGGAAGTTAGCAAGCTGGGCAAGATGATTCGTTGGAGAGCTTTCCTCTTGATTCTCATCCTGAGTTACCTAGTTCCTCCTGAAACTAATTCCTCCCTGCAGCACCCAAAGCACTCAGGGACCCCCTCCCCCTCCCCATGAGTTCATCAGTGAGGGCACTCCCAGCATGGAAGTTCCCTCCACCAATATGGATCAGCAGCTCTTTGTTAACTTACCATCCAGTGAGTTACCAGGGGTGTCGAGCAATTAAGTGACTTGTCCGTCCTTGAGCAGGCAGATAGGAGATGACACCCTAGGACCGCATGCCAACAACCATCAACACCAGAGCAGATTTCAGGATGGAGCCAAGGAAGCGAGTTCCCCCCAGGAGTCAGGGTGGGGGCCAGTGGGACAGGGCCATAACAAGCTGCAGTTGGCGAGGAAAGAGGACCTGCCATCCGGCGTGCCGTTGTCTAACATCCCTGCTTATGTGAGGGGGGCACGTGGAGGAGAGGGGAGGCAGGGAGAACAGACGCAGAACCCCTCACTGAGGGGTGTAGGAGCTGCCTTCCGTGCTCACCCCAGCCTGTCCCAATCCCGCTAGCTTGGTCGCCTTTTGTGCTTCTAGACTTTCTGGGCTCCGTCCGAGGCCAAGCCGTTTTGTCTTGGGGTCTCTCTCTCTTCTCTTCAGCTGTATGCTCCAGTGAAGCTTCTTGATCCCCACCCCCTCTGGCCCCAGCTGCTCCCTGTAATCTTTCTTGCCTCCTCTCTTTAGCCTGTGGCCTTTGGTTTGAATCTCTGATGGTGGTGGCGGCGTTGGCAGAGGGGCGTGTCGTGTGGGGGGGCTGGCGGTTTCTCCCACCTTTCTTCTCTCGCCTCTTTCCCCGGCTCTTGGCTCTTTGTGGGTGGGTGGGCTTGCGGGCTGGCTGGCTGGCTGACGAATCCGAGAAGTCCAAGAGTCTGATCGAGTCATCCCTCTGTTCTCTGCAGCGGATATCATCCAGTCCCACAATGCTGTCTTCATGGAGAACGCATCCCCTTCCTCTCCTGGTACGGCCCCCACTTTCCGTGGCTTCCGCCGGGCCAGTGAGGTCAGCATCACCAGCCAGGTGTCTGGCATGGCAGACAGCTACACTGCCTCCAATATCGCCAACAGTAAGTGGGGCCTGGGGGTCCCTCCGACTTCTTTTCTCTTCCTTGGGAGGAGGGTGGGTGGAGGAGCCGGGACAGGATTCGTCTTATCCAAGGGCCTTTGTTGGAATTGAAGCTTAGCCCCTCACAGTACCTCCCTCTGGCCTGGACCTCGCAGCACTACCTGGGCCCACCTCCTTAAAGGGGACTCTGGGAGCAAAGCAATTGGAGATGCCCATACACCCCTCTGTAGCCAAGGCGGGCAGCTCTCAATGGGAGGGGAGAAAGAAAGGGCTGTTGTCATAGCATAGCAGCTCTAACTAGAGAACTCCATGAGGGGTTATGAAGCATCACGATGGGAAGTTCAGACCCATACTTGAGAGAAGGGAAATATGGGCTACTGAGAAGAATCCCTCCGAACTTCCTAAAGAGGAAATTACATCTCCCTAGCAGAATGTAAACTTCTTGAGGAAAGGGCTAGTTTCGTTTTTTTTTTTGCCTTTGTGTCCCCAGAGTCCAATGTCGTGTCTGTTGAATCGGGGGAGAAAGCAATGATTGAGGCAGCCCTCCACATCCCCAATCTGACCCTGGTATCCAATGAGCAGCCCAGCTCAAATCTGGGCCCCTCATGTGGCCTGAGCCCTCTGGGTCTCTAGAAGAACAAATTAAAGGAATGGGGGAGGGGGGGCAGGAAGAGAGGCAGGTGATGAAATGGCCCCACATGGCAGGGAATGGAGCCAGAAAATCTGACGAGATTAAAACTGGGCCCAGTCTGAAATGGAGGAAGAGAGAGTGCTCCCTCCTATGTGCCTGGTCCTGTGCTAGCCACTGGGAATCCAGAGATCTCGATCATTCCATCCATGAAGATCTATTAAGCACCTGCTGTGTGCCTGGCACTATGCCAGGTGCTGAGAATACAAAGACAAAAGTCAAAAAAGAGTTCTTCCCCTCAAGAAGCTTACTTTCTATTGGGAAATAAGCAAGCATTTACAAGTATAGAAAACACATACAAAGTAAAAATAAAACAAACAGTTCCTACCCTCAGGAAGCTTATAGTCTACTGAAGCATTAGTAGAAATAGAGAGTAAAAGCAAAGCAGATTTGGGTGGAGGCCGGGGTAGCTTATTAATTCCATTTTAGACATGTTAAGTTTGAAGTTGGAAATCCCAGGGAGAGATTGGAGTGAAAGAAAAAGATTTGGGAACCCTCTGTGTGGAGGCCAGTGATTGATGAGAGGGCAGTGGAAATTGCCAAGAGAGAGAATGGGAAAAGAAGAGAAGGCAATAAAGGATGGGGCCTTGGAAGATGCCCACGCTCAAGAGATTTAGGAGAAGGGAGAGCCTCCAAAGGAAATGGGAGGGATCAGAGAACTAGGAAGAGAATCATTAGAGTCCAGCATCATGGGTGCCAGAGAAAGAAAAGATGGTCAACAGCGTCAAAAAATCGCCGAGAGATTGAAGAAAAGACTGTTGGATATAGACAGAAGTCATGAGGGACGTTGGAGAGAGCTCTTTCACCAGACCCCACTGGGAACGGGGAGCCAGGGCAAGGGGCTGAGGAGTTGAGTGGAGAGAAAATAAGTAGAGCTGATAAATGTTGATAACCCTTTCTGCAAGTGTGGCCATAAATGGAAGAAGAAAGGAGATGATCGCATGAGGTGGCTGGGGGTGGGGGGGGAAGGTATTTGGGGGTTAAGGGAGACCTGAGTTTATGTTTAGGCTAAAGGACATGGCCCATGGTAACTGGAAGAAACCAGATTGAATAGAGGATCCTGGCTGAGCTTGGAAACCCCCTGGGAAATGAGTGAGAGGGGCAGACATCTCACCCTGGGGGAGTTGGGAGGGAGGGCACACCTCCATCCCACCAGCAGTCTTGGGAGCCAGGACATATACTAGTGTGTATGAGTATGTGTTAGGACACACTGGACCCTTCAAACGGCCATCAGAAAACCCTAAGACTTGGCCAGGGCATTTAGGCCTGATTTTCAGTGTATTAGCTTGTGATTAGGGGGAAGACCTACTGGGCATTCCCTCTTCCAGATTGAGAGTGACTGTCCATTTGCATCCCTGCTCCCGTTCCTCCATGCCTGCCTAGCTAGGTCACCATAGCCTCTGACAGTTCCCACTTTGGTTTGTCCCAAGCATAATCCTTCCGACTGCTTTGGACTGTCCAAGTGTGTTCAGTCACAACAGATCAGAGGATCACAGAGCTAGAAAAGAAAACTTAGAGGTCCTCCCTCTTCTACCCTCTCATTTTACACATGAGGAAACTGAGGTCTAGAGAGGCAAAATGACTTGCCCAACATCATACAGGAAAGAAGGAAGGAAAAAAGAAAGAGGAAGAAAGAAAGGAAGAGAAAGGGAGAAAGAAAGAGGAGAAAAAGAATAAGAGGAAGGAAGAGAGAGAGAGAGAGATAACAAGAGAGAAAGAAAGAAAAGAAGGAAGGAAGAAAATTTTGCTTTCAGTCTGAGCCCAGAATTTGGAAAGGAAATCTGCTGGGAAGAAATCATTGAGTCAAACAGTGAAGTCTCGGGTCTGGATGACTTCAGGATGAGCCTCTGGTCTTGGCTAATCCAGTGTTTTCCATCATCTCTTGCTTTTTCTTCCCATCGTCTGGGATTGCCTGTGCCACTGGTGATCAGTCGTTAACGCTCCAACTTTTCCATCAAGATCTCTGCTGGGGTGGGGAGGCTGAGGGGGTTGCAGGCTCCGTATCTCTCCTATAGCCCTGTTTGCAGGTGTTAATGAGCATCATTGTTTTTGTTCCTTAGAGACCCCATCGGCCCTCAGTCACACCCCCAGTGTCAGGCGCCTGTCCCTGCTTGCCCTCCCCCAGCAGCCCCCAGCCACCTCGGTGTCCCAGAGGCTCAGGCCTCAGCCAGGGGAGCTGCCCCTCAGCCCTGTAAGAGAGAGGTTGACGGGGGATCTGAGTCCAAGCCTGGACCAAGTCCCCAATCTGGACATCGGAGAAGGTATTGTGGGGAAGGCAGCCCTCTGCCTTCTTTCTTCCACAAGACATGCTCTCTACTGTTATTTCTGGGCACATTTTCACTCCTCCCCTGCCTATCTAGACACAAAAATGTGAGGATCACTTCCCAGAGAGTCCTGGGGGGGGTTCTGCCTGGGGTCCTTGCTGGGCTGGGCCTAAAGACTAACCCTTCTCTGCCTGTGCTGGGGGCCAGGGTGGTGAAAGCTGAACTAAGGCCAGAGGGTCTGGGTATGGGTGCTGGCTGATATTTAAATTAGTTGAGATAACCAATACTCTCTCGCCCAAACCTCTAGTCTGCTTTCCCTGGGGTAGGCCTGGTGGCTTATTCTGGGAACATGTCAACCAGCTGGGACTGGAGGAGCCATCTAGAGGCAGACAAGCAAGACCTCTACAGCCTAGAAAGACAAAAGCCCAAAAGGCTTTCCTGAAACCAAGGGAATTAGGAAGGGAAATCTGCTGGCCGATCCTAAGTGGGTAGGCCATGAGAGTCAGGGGAGGGTACAACTTCATACCAGCAGCAGATTTTAGGAGTCCAAACATTTTGCGAGGGGGATGGAAAGGGCACTGGCCTGACAGTCAGCCCTCCAAGAGCAGTGTGCTTGGGTGTGTGTGTGGACACCCACATGCGCAGAAACATGCACTTGCCTATACATGATCTCAGCCTTGGTCAGAGCATTTGTGGGGGATTATATTCCGTTCTGGGCACCACATTTCAGGAAGGACGTTGATAATTGGAGGGTGTCCAGAATAGGGCAGCCAGGACAGTTGAGAGCCTTGGGTCCGTGTTATACACAGAGCTAGGAATGTTTAGACAGGGGAGAGAGAAGGCTGGAGGGTGGAGGAGTGAATACACGGTACATATGTTCAAGCCTTTGACAGTCTGTCATGTAGAGGGAAAAAAAGATGTGAGTTGTTCTGCTTGGCTCTCTGGACAGGACTAAGAAGCACTACATAAGTGGTGGAGATTGTGGGTAAGCATCAGGAACAAGTCTTTTCTTGGTCAGAGCCACTCCAAACAGAATGGGCTGACCTCCGAGGTGAATGCTGGGACGGTGGCCGAGCTGTCCCCACAGCTGTCCCTCAGAGCCCTCTGCAGCAGCAGTGCCCGCCTGCTTGTTTGCTTTTATGCCAGGAGACGTTAGAGAAACTGGTCTGGCCTGATGCCCCCACCCTGACCTGCTGCTCCGCTCCTAACCTCTGTCTCTCATGCTTTTGGGCTTGTTTGACACACCCGGATCTCAGAGACTTTTTGCTTGCTTCTCACCGTTAATGCCAGACTCCTTTTGCACCACCTCTCCTAAGTCTGAAGCAGGCGGGGTGGAGGGGAAGCGGGGGGGGGGGGGGGGAGGTTCTCTATCATGTGGCTGTAGTGGGGGTGGGAGGCAGGGAGAGAAAGAACCCTGATTTCCAGACATAGGCAGTGAATCTGAGGCTCAATGCTTAGAAATCTCCAGAATCAGTAACATCAGCCAACATTTACTTATTGAATCTTTTTGCAAAGGGTTCTATCAACATTAGCTCATTTCATCCTCACCACCACCTTCTGGGGAGGGTGGTGCAAGTGACATCCTCATTTCACAGATGAGGAAACTGAGACCCAGAATGCTGGCCTCCAGTGTCAGTCCCATAGCTAATAAGAAGCAGAATCTGGACTGAACTTGGGTCATCCGACGTTAAGCACGAGGCTTCTTCAGCTGTGACTGAAACTACCTGCAAAATGTGTCTTCTCTTGTTGTTCAGAGAACACCTTTTAGGCACTCTTCCCCCTCCCCAGCCAGGCCTGGCCTGGCCATGGGGTGGTCCATTCAATTTAGAAGCCTGACCCTAGGATGGAGCACACCCAGAGGGTCCAGGGTTAGGGAAGGCCAAGCCAGAGGTAGAAGCATCCCTAAGGATGGAGACATTGCGGAGTGCAATTGTGTGGTCTCTCTCCCTGTGTCTGAGGCTGGGCCTCACCACAGGCCTCACCGGCACCTGCCTGCTTGCAAAGATGGACAAGTTGAATGATACAGACCCAGGCCTGCTCCTCTATCAGACCCTACTGGTCTGGAGTGCCATTCAGGACACCCATTGGGGCATAGAAATCCAGCATCATGCTCAGCAGACTGCAGGGTCTGCTACCCAGCTGGGGCACCTGGGGACTGGCTGAGCTAGGCAGGGAGGGGTCAGCCCCCTCATCTCTCCTTTCTATTCTTCTTGTGCGTGTGTCTCTCTATCTCTGTCTCTCTCTGTCTCCTCCTCCCTTTCTCCCTCATTTCCTGTTTCCCTTTCTCCACTCCTCTCTCTCACACATACATATCCTTTTTTCCCTTCATAATTCTTTCTGTCCTTCTCTCTAATTCCCTTTCTCTGTTTTCTCTCGTTCTCTGTCTCTGCCTGTCTCTGTCTCTCCATCTCTATCTCTGTCTTTGTCTCTCTTTCTCTCTCATATACACATACACACACATCCTCTCTCTTTCCTTCCTTTTCTCATTTTTTCTTTCCCTCTCATTCTCTTTTTCTCTCTCATTCTCTATCTCTCACACACATCTTCTCTTTCCTTCTCTCTCATTCTCTGTTTCTCTCATTTTCGATCTCTGTCTCCTCCTCATCTCTCTTCTCTCTATCTCTCTCCTCTTCCTTTTCTCTCTCCTCTTGTCTCTCCCCGCTCTCTCTGTCTCTGCCTCTCCTCCTCATCTCCCTCCTCTCACTTTTCTCTCTTCTCTTGTCTCTCCCCGCTCTCTCTCTCTCTGTCTCTCCTCCTCGTCTCTCTCCTCTCACCTTTCTCTCTCCTCTTGTCTCTTCCTGCTCTCTGTCTCTCCTCAGCTCTCTCCTTGCTCACCTTTCTCTCTCCTCTTGTCTCTCCCTTCCCTCTCTGTCTCTGTCTCTCCTCATCTCTCTCCTCTCTCTCACTTTTCTCTCTTCTCTCATCTCTCCCCTCTCTCCCTGTCTCTATCTCGCCATATTTCGGTCATCAAGCCTTTTCTCCCGCCAGTTGCCGCCAAATGGTGGGGAACAAAGCGGATCGACTATGCCCTATACTGTCCGGATGCCCTCACTGCTTTCCCCACCGTGGCTCTCCCCCACCTCTTCCACGCCAGCTACTGGGAATCCACCGATGTAGTCTCCTTCCTGCTGAGACAGGTAGGTCCCCACCTTCAGCCTCTGTCCCAGGGGTCCTAAGGTGGGTTGGACAGGGCTAAAGCCCATTGGTCTGGAGGCCATCTGTCTTCCTCATTCCTCCATCTATCCCCCAGGTCATGAGGCATGAAAACGCTAGTATCTTGGAGCTGGACGGCAAGGAAGTATCCGTGTTCACCCCCTCAAAGCCCCGGGAAAAGTGGCAGAGGAAAAGAACCCACGTAAAGCTGCGGGTAAGCTGCCACGAGCAGTATGAGGGGCCCCTTCACCAGAGAAGGCCACCACCCATCTGGTGGAGGGCTGGCCCCCTTAGCCGGTGAGGCAGAGCCTCTGGTCCCTTCTCAGAATCATATCCTTAAATGCACAAAAGAAAGTGCAGAGGAGGACAAAGGAAACCAAAAGTTTGTGAAAATAAGGACATCATTTTTTTCCCTTTCCAAGTTTACAAAACACTTCCCCACCCCCCAAAAAATCTGTCTTAAGCCCTACTGGGGGTCCATGGACCCGAGATTAACAAGCGCTGGTCTAGATGCATTCCCAATCACACAAGAGGATAAGCCAGACCAGACTAACTATAGACATTGTGATGGAGGCTGGTGACAGATGCCTGAAGTGGCAGTCTCAGGACCTGGGTTCAAATTCTGCCTCTGCTACTTACTACGTCTGCAACCTTGGGCACACGACCTCCTTTGGATGCATTTCCTCATCTGTGGCCTTCGAGGTCCCTTCCAAGTCTAAATCCTGATCCTATGACTCCCCAGCTCAAGCTCACCCAGGGCAGTTTCCTAATCTCTGCCCCAGTATTCATCCCAGGACCTCCTTTGACTGTTCTCCATTCCCTCCCCCAGAATGTTGCTGCTAATCACAGGATCAATGATGCTGTAGCCAATGAGGACGGTCCTCAGACCCTGACGGGCAGGTTCATGTATGGGCCCTTAGACATGGTCACCCTGACAGGGGAGAAGGTGAGTGGAGCAGGGAGGGTGCGGTCATGGGGCAAAGGGGTGGCCTTGCAGGCATTGGAGAGTCATAAAACTGGAAGAACCTCAGAAGCCTTCCAGTGGCTGGCACATAGCAGGCGCTTAATAGATGTTTATTGACTGACTGCTTCTAGTCCCACCTCCCCCTCAGTTTAGGGCTCCATCCTGTGATATCCTCACTGACAGATGGTCAGTCAGATTCTGCCCTCCCAGGAATGGTTCCATGGAGAGATCATCAGATTTGGCATCAATGGGTCTGGGTTGGAAACCAGCTCACTGACCAACATTGGTCTGACCTTGGATACTTCACCTCCAGAGGCCTCAGTTTCTCCAGCTGTAAAAATTATAAAGTGGTCCTAGATGAGGTCTTTTCTAGCTCTCTGAGCCTCAGTTCCCCTCTATGTAAAATGAAGGGGTTGGATCCAGATGAAGCCATGAGCCTCCCAAGTCAGCGCATTGTGTTTTTGGACTCCTCTAATTAGAGTTCTTGGTCAAACTGCACTGAAGTCTGGCTCCTAGGACATCCATTAGTCCTAGTTATTAAGTCAATGAGCATTTCTTGCTAGGAATGGTGGAAGGGAACTCGGGGATGGGGGCAGGGTAACAATCACTCGAGTTCAGGATTTCTGAGCTGCAGTCCAGTGTCCAAGCTAAGCCCAGCACCAGTATAGCGAGTGCCCAGGCATAGAGGGCTGCTCCATGGCCCAAGGAGGGTGAACGCAGCGTAGGTCAGCAACAGAACCAGTCAGAGCTTCCCTGAAGATTACCAGTGGCTGCTACACTTTTAGCCTGGACAAGACAAGGGAGATCTGGTCTCAAACAAATAAGCAAAAAAAAAAAACCAAAAACAAACAAAAAAAACACCTCAAGCATTTATTAATCACTTACTATGTGTTAGGTACTATGCTAAATACTGGCGGAGAGAGAGGGAGGGAGGAAGAGAAAAGAGGGAGAGAGAGAAAGAGAGAGAGAGAGAAAGGAGAGGGGGGAGAGAGAGAAAGAGGAAGAGAGGAGGGAGGGAGGGAGGGAAGGAAGCAGGGAAGGAGAGAGAAGAGAGGGAGGAAAAGAGAGAGAGGAGGAGGAGGAGAGAGAAGAGAGGCAGAGAGGAGGGAGGGAGGGAAGGAGAGAAAAGAGAGGGGGAGAGAGAGAGGAGGGAGGGAAAGAGAGAGAGGAGGAGGAGAGAGGAGGGAGGGAAAGAGAGAGAGGAGGAGGAGAGAGAGAGGAGAAGCAGAAAGGAGGGAGGGAGGGAAGGGGAGAGAGAGAGAGATATGAATGGCTGATAAGTAGGTAGGTAGATAGATTGGTAGACAGACAGAACATTTATTAAGGGCTTACTATATGCCAGGCACTGTGACTGAGTACTGGAATCAAATAGAAGCCAATAAAGATATTCTCCACCATCAATGAGGTTAGATTTTAATGAAGGAAAGAAACAATGTATAAATTGGTTCAAACAAGATATATCCAGAGTAGGTGGTGGAAGGCAATCTCAAAGGGGAAAAGAATCAGCAGCTTGAGAAGCCTGGGAAAGCCATCCTAGAATAGCGATTTGAGCTGAGTTCATTTTGTCTTCTGGGGCTTAGCAAAATAGTCCCAGCTGTCATCATCCAGGATGAGAGGTGGGGGCGGGGGAAAGCAGGAACGTATCGTGGTCTGGGGGAACAAGAGAGAGCAGTGGTGCCACCATGTCACCAGCAGAGGCATCAGCCTTGGCTAGACACTCCCATAGTATATGGTGAGAATCATTTCCATTACTTAGAGGTCCCGGGGTAAGAGTGTTCCGGGGGCGGGGGGGGGCTCGGGGGGGAGGGGGCCGTGGCCCAATGTCAGGATCAGGCAGCAGGATTGTGGGGCCAGCCAAGTCAAAGGATGGTTCTCAGCTGCCCCTCCCACCCGCCTACTCCCAGGTGGACATCCACATCATGACGCAGCCGCCATCCGGGGAGTGGGTCCACTTTGACACGCTCGTCACCAACAGCAGTGGGCGAATCTCCTACACCATCCCTGAGGAGCAGCGTCTGGGCGTCGGTGTCTACCCCATCAAGATGGTGGTCAGGTGGGGACGGGCATCTGCTCAGAGCATCAGGTTGGGGGGGAAGGGGAATGGGCCATCCACCATGGAACAGAGGTGGGGCAGGGTTAGTGCCCCACTGCCCCATACCAAAAGCACCTACCATGCAGAGTAACAGAAAGGAGACCCAGGGCAAAAGTGGGATCTGCAGAGCTTCCTCCGGTGCTGGATTTGGAATTAGAAGGACCTGAGTTCAAATCCCAGCTGGATTGCTTTCTCTTCCTATGTGACACTGGGCAGGTCACCGCACCTCTCTAGGACTCAGTTTCCTCTTGTGTAAAATGAGGGAGTTGGATTACACAGCCGCTGCGCCCCCCTGGCCCTAAATCAGTGATCCTATTTGTAGGTTACTGTGCAAGTCACCCCTGCTTTTGGTCCAAGTGGCCTCCTTTATAAAAATGAAGGGGTTGCACAGCCCTTAAGTGTACCATCCTGGGCTTTCCAACCCTGGTCAACCAGGACCTCGCGATCCACCTCTCTTTTGGCCTCTGCTGCAGGAAGAAAGTGTTCCCCACCCTCGAGTATGAGGATGGCAGCTTGTTAAGAGTGTCAGACTGGGACGCTAAACTGTGGCCCCATGAGCTTTGGTGGGGGCAGGCCCCCTACTTGGTAATCCTTGAGGATGCTGAGATCAGAGGATGGGCCCCCAGAGGAGCCCCTGGGCGAGACCTTGTGTTGGTATCAGGGGAAGCCCTGGGCCTGGGTTGGAGGAGATGCTCGGTCCTGGGGCTCTGATGGCTCTTTCTCAACAGGGGGGACCACACATTCGCAGACAGCTACATCACCGTCCTACCCAAGGGGACAGAGTTTGTAGTCTTCAGCATTGATGGTTCCTTTGCCGCCAGCGTCTCCATCATGGGCAGTGACCCCAAGGTGCGAGCAGGTGCTGTGGATGTAGTAAGGTGAGCCAGGGAGAGAGGACAGGCCGTCCTTCCCTCCCCTCCTCTCTTCTCTCTTCCTCTCCACCCACCTTCCTCCTTCAAGTGACTTTTCACACACCCTGGGGAAGGGCCCTTTGGCTGGGGCAAGAAGGGAAGGCAGGGATCCTCCCAAGTCAGAAATTGCTGAAATTTTTATAGATACAGTGAATTAAAGCTTAAAGTTTGAGCTTCAAACTATTTACAGATCGGTTGAGTTTATGACTTAAATACTTACAGATACAATACTTTATTGTTCACACAGTTTACATTCTATAGACAGAAACATGTATATAGATAAGTAAATAGGGATAGAGCCTGGACCTGTGATTTCATTGGTTTGGGAAATTCCCAGATAAGGAAACTTCCTCTTCCAGCATAGGTTGCTACCTCCTCTACAACTTATTGTCCTAGAGATTTGCCTAGAACACTTAGAAGTCAAATGATTTGACCTGGATCATATAGTCAGGATGTCTCAAAGGCAGGAATTGAACCCAGGTCTTTATGACTCTGAGGCCAGCTTTCTACCCACTTCACTGTGTGGAATATACACACAGAGAAAGCTGCCACCTATTGCTAAATACAAAATGCATACAAAATGAATGAGTGGGAAAGTAGCCCAAGGAGGTAGGGAAACCAGGAAAGGTCTGAGGTAAGGACTGGTTCTAAGGCAGTGGGGTGGCACGGCACGGACTAAAGTCAGGAAGACCTGAGTTCAAATCTAGCCTTAGACACTTCCTAGCTAGGTGACCGTGGACAAGTCACTTCACCCTGTTTGCCTCAGTTTCCTCATCTGTAAAATGAGCTGGAGAAGGAAATGGCAAACCACTCCAGCATTTCTGCCAAGAAAACCCCAAATGGGGTCGCAAAGAGTCAGACATGACTGAAATGACTGATCAACATAAGGGCTGCTTACTTAGCCTCAGCTTTGAAGGCAAGTGAGGTGCTCTACGCAATGGAAATGAGGAGGAAGGACACCCCAGACCTTGGGTGTGACCGATGCCTTTATAGACATGGAGATGGGAGGTGGAAAGTCCTAGGTGAGGAAAGGCGAGAAGGCCAGTTTGGCCTGGAGCATTAAGTGCTCAGAGGGTTCTGATTTGTACTAATCTTGGAAAGATTGTCAGGATCTGGATTGTGAAGGGCATTGCATGCCAAACAAGTCTTTCTATTTGATCCTTGGGGTAATAGGGAGCCACTGGAGTTTATTGAGTAGGGGAAGACCTGAGCTTTGGGAAGATCACTTTGGCAGCTGAGTGGAGAATGGTGTGGAGTGAGGAGAGACTGGAGGTGGAGAGTCCAATTAAGAATTTACTGCAGTATTCCAAGAGAGAGATGATGAGGGTCTGAACTAAGGTGGTGGCCGTGTATCATGGAAATAGGAGAACCGGTCACTGATTGGATGCACAGTAAAAAAGAATCCTAATCTGCGATTGTGGACTTGGATGACTGGGTGGATGGGAGTACCCTGGACAGAAATAGGGGGAGTTCAGAAAAGGGGTGAATTTAGAGGGAAAAAGAGAAGAAAGCCCAGGATAGAGGCACGAAATGACCCCCTCCCCAGTTAGAAGAGTAGAACAAGGGTGATGTTCTTGCAACGGAGACTGAGATAGGAGGAGAAGCGGGAAAGTCATTCAGTCAACCAGCATTTATTAAGTGCCTACTATGTACCAGGCACTGTGCCAAGCCCTGAGGATACAAAGTAAGACAAAAACTTAGAGTCTCTGCCCTTGAGGAGCTCACATTCCTAATGGGGGAGACAACATGTAAATAAATAACTAGGTACTTACAAGACGTATGAAAGGGTAAATGAAAGATGCAGACAGAGGGAAAGTGATGGCAGGCATGGGTGGGTGGGGTACCAAAGGCCAGAAAGTATCCAGGAGGAGAAAGGGGAGTCTATAGTGCCCCATACTTCAGAAAAGTTGAGAATGAGAGCAGCTAGGTTGCACAGTGGATAGAGCACTGGCCCTGGAGTCAGGAGGACCTGAGTTCAAACCTGGCCTCAGACACTTGAAACTTACTAGCTGTGTGACCCTGGGCAAGTCACTTAACCCTAATTGCCTAAAAAAAAGAAAAAAGTTGAGAACAGTAAGGAAGACCAGGTCAGAAAAGGACTACCAGGATGGAAGTTGGGAGCCCCAGGTTGTCTGAGTCCTTTCTCCACTACCAATTAATTACTCGTGTGACCTTGGGGCAAAGCATTGCATCACCCTGAGCCCCAGTTTCTTCATAATAACCGACCTCCTTACCTCACAGAGTTGTCATGAAGTAAAAGTTATTTATAAACAACACATGAATACAATAAGGGCGATCATTATAGTGCCTTAATATGTAGTGCTTTAAGTTTGCAAAGCACTTTGATAAATTTTATTTCATTTGATCCTCACAACAACCCTGGGAGCTAGGTGCTATTATTAACCCCATTTTACAGTTGAGGAAACCGAGGTAAGCAGAGGTCAAATGATTTGCCCAGGGTCACACAGCTAATAAGTGGCTGAGACAGGGCTTGAACTCAGATCCAGTACTAGATTCCTGATCTAGTGCCCAATAAGGTGGAGTGTTATTTGTTCTAGAGAGGCAGCCTACCAGAGTGGAGAGGGAGTTGGCTTTGGAGCTAAGAAGGCCTGGTCAGGAAGACCTCTGCTGAATGTATGACCCTAGGCAAGTCACTTAACTTGTCAATGCTCTAGGCAGCTCTCTAGCACTACAGGTTACCCAAAAGTTGCCCACTTACATTGATGGAGAGAATTTCCTCACCCTGCAGTTCCTTATGCCATTTAAATCCTAGGTCTAGCAGAGGTGGGGAACCTGCGGCCTCGAGGCCACATGTGGCCCTCTAGGTCCTTGGGTACGGCCTTTTGACTGAGTCCAAGTTTTACAGAACAAATCCCTTTAATAACACTAGAGCTCATGAGCGCTCACCATTGAGCTTCTCCTTAACAATCAGCCAGGAGATTCAATTAGTTTTTGTGAAAAGGTATTTACTCAAATGGCATTATCCAGTAGCTTGTGGCACATTGTCCTACAGATGTACCCAGAGCCCATGGGGCAGGGAAGAGTGGACATGAATTTAAAGTACAGCAGGAGTGAATCACAGTAGCAGAGATTACATATAAAAAAAACGACTCACAGTCTTAGACCAACAAGGTCTTGACATCTTTTCTTTCTCAGGAGAATTATCACAAAGTTCATTGCTTAAAGCACAATGGGTAAATAAGGCACACATATCAGAAACACACATAGCCAAAGCAATGCACAACTCTGACTTAGCTGTCACAAGGCAATAATAACAACAACCGACATTTATATAGCAGTAGTGTAAAGCACTTTAAGTACCAGCTGAACGGTAAAGTTAATTATAATAAAACACTTTAATGTTTTCAGAGACCTCTACATAATCTCAGTTGATTCTCCCAACAACCCCAACAAAGTAGGCACTCTAGGGTTTTTGTAATCCCCTGTTTTACAGGTGAGGAAACCAAGGCTCAAAGTGACTTGTCCAGGGTCTACTAACTAGTAAGGGCAGAGATAAGACTTGAACCCAGGTCTTCCTGATTTGATAGACAGGCACTACACCCCTGTTAGCTCTCCAAACATGGGGAGGGATTCCGGGGCGTGGGGAGGTGGGCCTAGAAGTGACCAGTGGCCCCGAGGAGTGGAATCCTCCAGGTCCACAGGCCTCTTCTGCTTCCTCCTCCCGCCTCACCTGCAGACACTGGCAGGACCTCGGCTACCTCATCATCTACGTGACAGGAAGGCCCGACATGCAGAAGCAGCGGGTAGTAGCCTGGCTGGCACAGCACAACTTTCCCCACGGGATCGTCTCCTTCTGCGACGGCCTCGTGCATGACCCTCTGCGACATAAGGCCAACTTCCTGAAGTTCCTCATCACAGAGGTAAGAGCTCCCAGCCGGACCCAGTGGGATCGTCCCTGTCACGGCACTGACTTTGGGAAGGGCGGCAGTGAGCCGAGTGTCCGGAGGCACGCCCCTGGATGGCAAAGGACCCGTGAGTCCAGGCACTGCGAGGATCATTGGAGACGCTGGGGTTGTTTAGTCTGGAGAATGGAAGACTCCTGGGGAAATCCTGCATTCATATATACTTATGGAGAGAGAAGAGAGGGAATTGGGGAGGGGGAGAGAGAGGCAGAGGAGGAGGGGAGGGGGGATGGAGAAGAGAGGAGGGGAGAGAGAGATAGAGGGGGGAGAAAGACAGCAAGAGAGGGGAGATGGAGAGAGAGGGGGGGAGAGGAAGGAGGGAGAGAGAGGTGGGGAGAAAGGGAAAGAGAGGGAGGGGCAGAGGGAAAGGGGAGATGGGGAGAGAGAGGAGGAGGGAAGGGAGAGAGTTGGGGGGGAAAAGACAGAAAAGAGGGAAAGAGGGAGGGGCAGAGGGAGAGGGAAGATGGAGAGAGAGAGGAGGGGGGAGGGGAGAGAGAGGAAGAAGGGGGAGAGAGAGATGTGGGGAGAAAGGGAAAGAGGGAGGGGCAGAGAGAGACAGAGAAGGTGGAGGGGGAGAGGTGGGAAGAAAAGAGAGGGGAAAGAAGAAGAGGGAGAGGGAAAGAGGGAGGGGCAGAGAGGGAGAGAAAGAGGAGGGGGAGGGAAGGAGAAAGAGAAAGAAGAAAGGGGAGAGAGGGAGAGAGAGAGTGAAAAAGAGGGAAAGACAGGGAAGGAGGGAGGGACAGCATAGCATAGGAGAGAGAGTGTAGGATTTAGGGCCAAGAAGACCCCAAATTTAAGTCCTGCTTCTGATACTTAATAACTGTATGGCCCTCTGCAATAACAATAATAATAATAAGTAGCATTCATAGAGGGAAGGGGGGGAAGAGGATACGCATTTATCTAGCACCTACTGTGTGCCAGGCACTTTACAATTATCTCATTTGATCCTCCCACAACCCTGAGAGGTAGGTGCTCTTATTATCCCCATTTTGCTGATGAGGAAACTGAGGTGGGCAGAGGTTAGGTGACTTGGCCGCAGTCCCACACAGCCAATGAGTGTCTGAGGCTGAATTTGAACTCAGATCTCAGAACTCGGGAAAGTCACGGGATCCTCTCTCAGGGCCCTGAGGTCCCTTGTGGCTCTGTGTGAAGGGCCCTCATGTGGATGTGAGGTTCCCCTTATTCTGTTCGGCTCCCAAGGCAGAGCCATGAGCTGTGAGTGGAACTTATAAAGAGGCGAGTTTCCCTGATAGCAGGGAAGTCTTCCTGTGGATCTGGGCAGTCAGGAGGGCCAGCCTGAATGAACGGCCAAGTCGTGAGGTCCCTTCCAGCACACATGTGCGTGGATGGATTGGCCAGGGGACACATCAGGCTCTTTATCTTTTCCCACCCCTGGAGCCAGGGTAATAGATCAGTCAACAAGCATTTATTAAGTGCCTGCTGTATGCCAGACACTGTGCTAAGAGGTAAGGATACAAAGAAAGGGGGAGGAAAACCCTACCCTCCCTGCCCCCGGGGAGTTCACATTCTAATGGAGAAGACCACATGTAGACAACTGGGCAGGTCTATAGAGGGTAAATTGGAGGTCCAAAGTTCAGAGGGGACCTCCTCCCTCTCTCCCCAATCCGCTCTGGTCCAGAATTACCCAGCATTCCCTCAGAGGGCTCCTATGGTAGGGGGCTGCAAGTCTATGAGCTATAGTTCAAGCTCTGAGAGGCTGGAGAACTGCCCACGGCCACAAGAGTAATAATAATCAGCATTTGAATCTGATCTGGTCTGGCTTTCCCCAACCACGTCAGTCTTTCTAGGGGCCTTGGGACCAGCAATGGCCTTGTCAGTCACCAGACTGGGGCAGCTAGGTGGCGCAGTGGACAGAGCCCTAGGCCTGGAGTCTGGAAGACCTGAGTTCAAATCCAGGCTCAGATACTCACTAGCTCTGTGACCTTGGGCAAGTCACTTAACCTCTATCTGGCTTAGTTTCCTCAACTATAAAATGGAAATAATAACAGCACCTACCTCCCAGGGTTGTTGTGAGGATCGAATGAGATATTTGTTAAGTGTCTTAGCACATAGTAAGCTCTATATAAGTGATGTTATTATTGTTACCGTCGTCATCATCATGGACTCAGATCTGGAAGTGACATTACAGGCCAGCTCATCCAACCCCTCCCCCCACTTTACAGATGTGGAAACTGAGGCCCAGAAAAGTGAAACAACTGTACCTGGGTTTCCCAGCCTATTTCAAACAAGAAAGAGGCCCCACTCCCGAGCCCTAGGCCGCTGGGGTCTCTTCAGACACGGGTTCCCAAGCCCCTCTGCCTGGCAGTCCAGGAGGACCCAGGAGTGTCATCTGGCCAGCCACTCTGAGCATGCTCTGTCCCTGTCTCCCCAGCTGCATATGCGGGTGCACGCCGCCTATGGCTCCACCAAGGACATCTCCGTCTACAGCTCCATCAGCCTGTCCCCCATGCAGACCTACATTGTTGGCCGTCCCACCAAGAAGCTGCAGCATCAATGCCAGGTACGGGAGCCATCCTCCTCCCTCTGCCCCCAGTCCGCACTGGTCCTAGGCACAGCCATGTCTGGCATGGGATGCGCCGGGCTCCCACCTGTACCAAGATGGCAGCACGGCCATCCATGCCAGCCGGGTCTCTGAGGCTGCTTTCCCAGACCCTCGGTACTCAGGCCAGGCTCAGAATTACCCAGCATTCCCTCAGAGGGCTCCTGTGGTAGGGAGCTCTAAATCTATGAACCTGGCTGGCACAGGGAACCTCAAGGATTTGTTCTGTGAAGTTTAGATTTATTCAAAGGGCCGCACTTGAGGACCTTTTGGCCGCAGGCTCCCCACCCGTCCTGGCAACTCTGGCCTGTGACGTGGGGCGAGTCTTTCAACTTCCCCAGGCCTGAGCTTCCTTCTCTATAAAATAGGAGGGTTTGGGGAGACAAACCGAGGGTCAGATTCAATGGCCTGCCAGAGCCGTCCCAGTTCTGAATCGGTGACTAGCTGCAGTGCAAACCTGCCAGACTGCGACCGGCCGGGCTTCTTACCTGTTCTCTGTTTCCCTCCCCCACCTCAGTTCATCACCGAAGGCTACGCCGCCCACCTCGCTCAGCTCAAGTACAACCACCGAGCCAGGCCGGCCAAGAACAGCACCAGGATGGCTCTGCGCAAAGGCAGCTTTGGCCTCCCTGGCCAAGGCGACTTCCTCCGCAAACGGAACCACCTCTTGCGCACCATCTCCTCCCAGCCCGCTGGGCCCAGCCACAAGCATGAGCGGACGCAAAGCCAGTCGGACAGCGAGCGGGAGCGCGAGCGGGAGAGGGGTCAGCGGAGCATGAGCGTGGCTACAGGTTGCTGGGGCCGCCGGCCAGAGCTGGGGGCCCCCCCAGGGCCCAAGTAGAGGTGCCCGCCTCCCCGCGCCCCCCCCCAGGAGCCGGCCCTGGAGCGGCCCCAGAGTGGGAGGTGTCACCATGGTGCTAGGAGGCAAGGGGGACAGAGCCACGCAGGCTGTGGGTCCCGGGCAGGCAGGTGGGTGCCAGCCTGCCAGTGGACTGAGGCCAGAGCTGAAGCTGGGAGGCCTTGGACCCCATCCCAGGCCCCTCCCCGGGGGCACTCTTGGCTCGGGCCTCGGGCATTTTGCTGCTTCTGCCACAGACAAGCACAGGACATGGCCTGTCTCTGCTCCCAGGGATGGGAGACACCAAGCAGTGACTCTGGTCCCCTTCTGACCCAGGGGGCTTTCCAGACAGCCCCCCACGGTGAGGCTCGGCCAGCCTCCTCTAACCACACCTTGCCCAGGAAGCAGGGCTCGATCCTGACCTGCAGGGAGAAGGGATCCCCCAATCCTCTGCCATGAAGGCAGGGGCACAGCAAGGCGGGAGGCGGGGACACCGTCCCCCAAAGAGACTTCTCAGCGGGGCTGCGTTCCCGACGTTCTGGAGTTCGGGGTCTTTGGTTCTCTCAGCAGCTGGCGGCATCCTGCATTTGCCGACAAATGCAAGGAAATCACACCCTCTCCCTCCCCCATTGCTGGGGGCACACAGGGCTCGCCATCTCAGCCCAAGAAGAGACCATCCCACCTGCTGCTCTCTGCCCCGCCCCCACCGCCATGTATAGTCTCACCAAAACCCCTGCAGCTCATTCACCCCTGAGCACTGGAGATGATCCAGCTATGTGCATTCTCTGTAATCCAAGTGCAGGGTTGGAGGCGTCCCCCGTCCTCCCCCCCCCCCCCCCCCCGCATCCATTTTCCCCAGCCCCCTTCTCCCCGAGTTCTCTCCAGACACAGTAGCAGCTTCCTGGGAGTTCGACCTGCTTCTTTTAACTCCTCACTCAACTGTAAAACCTCATCGTTTTTTGCACTGATGATCTTTAGGATGGAGACCTGTTACCATCTCATGTGGCTACACATCACCGTTGGTAGTGCATGATCATTAAATATTTTGCTGATCCAGGATAGAGTTCTGTGCAGGTTTGTTTGGGTTTGTTACTTTGGATTTTTTTTGTTGTTTTTTGGACAGTAAGGTGACCCAAATGTATAGCAAGTATGTTGTACAAAGCTTAAGGAAAAGGCCATATCTTTATTTCTGCAGCTCTTCCTATCACCAAGGCCCCAGGCCAGCCAACTAGTCACCCCCACCCCAGCTCCCTGCCCTCTCCTCTGCCGGCCTGCCTTGCCTAGCTCTTTGCATCTCTCATTTCTCTCTCACCAGTGAGGAGTGAGCAGAGGCAGGGAGGAGGGCGGGGGAGCCCCTTGGGTCCAGACCAGCCATGAGCCTGGCATCTCCTGCTTGGGCACCTGCCCCGAGCAGCAAGCCAGGGTCTGGGCACCTGAGGCCCCCAACACCCGCCTCTAGGCCAGAGAGCAGAGAGCTAAGGGATGGGAGTTCGAGGTGGGGAGGAGGGGAAGGGGGCAGCTGGACACAGGTTTTCCTCTCTCTCTGAAACCAGATTATTGGCCAAGCCCCCGGTTTCCACACCGCTCCTGATGCTGCTGCTGCCGCCCACTGCAGTGCATTATATTTCTATTCCTTTCTACGTCAGTGATTTGATTTCTAAAAGGGTTGGGTTGTTCGGTCTTTTTTTCTTTTTTAAAGGAAAAAACTTGGCTGCTTTTAGCTTTCTTAACTCTTTCAACACCCAGGGCAGCCCTCTCTGCTTTGTGAAAACCTTGCACTGTGAAAGCAGCCCGCTTTGGGGGCTCTGGGTCCTGCCACCGTCTCCCAGGCCTAGGTATGCCCCGACTGTCTCCTGGCGATTGGAACCTTGCCCCAGAGGATTTCCTCACTCCTATTTCCAAACTCTCACTGAATTTCTACTCTCTCAACGGGGCTTTAGGGGCAGGTGGGAGGGGCACATACAGATTTTTAAAACGCAAACTGTTTTGAAGCGAAAATTTGGACTGTCAGGTCCTTCATATCTCCCCCCGGCCAATCACCAACCACCCCTGCAGCACCTGCGCCACTTTCTACTGATGGAATCGGACTTCCCCTTTCTAACTAATCAACTTTTTCGACGTGTTGCCTTGATCTCACCTCCACCAGGCCACTGGCGCCCACGTGGATTCTTCTTGAGCTTTGCCATTTATTTCAGCGGCCGACAGAGAAGGCCACCTTCAGCCGGAGGAGCTCACCAAGCTGAGAACCGGGTTCTTGGGAAAGAATTCATCAAACATGGGGATATGGCCTTTGTCCAGTGCCCAGTCACCCAGTGGGGCTGGCTGGGCCGTTCTGTACATTTTGTTTGGGGGTGGGGGGAGGGTATGAAAAGATGCTGACATTTTCTCTTGTGTAGATATTGTAAAGAGGAAAAAAAGTATCCTGTAAATGTTCAGAAAAGTGGGTATATACAGAGTGAAAGTTATTTATTTTGTGTAGGGAAAATGTCTGGAGGGAAGAGAACCTTCAGGGCTTATTAATATTTAAGATGTAGCTTTCTTTTGTTGTTTCAGGCATTATGTACAAAGCAATTGTTTTATGGACCAAGTCCAATGTGACCTGTCTCTGAAGAATGCAATATCTGACTCGCCCCGCCCCTCACCACCGCCACCTCCCTTCCCCTTCAGTGGGAAAAATACGCTCAGCCTGACAATCACAGCCTTGGGGAGGGGGGGACACACACACATGCCCCCTGCTCTGCTCCTCCCTCAGACCATCTCCAATAGTCCAGGGGGAGGAAGCCTTCTCGAGCTGAGTCTCAGACCCTGATTGCAACAACGGTGGCCAGAGGAGACTGCCATGAGCCCGTGCCAGCCTTTGACTGGCCCCTCTCCTCCTGACTCGGCCACAGCCATTGCTCCCAAGGCTGTGCCTACCTTCTGTCATCAGCTCTGCCGCAAACTCAGCCTTGAAGGCTCCCCCCGCCCCTGCCCCCACCCAACTAAGCCAAGGACAAGAGCAATAGCGCAAGCCTCCATCTGTCTCGGCCTCATCAGTCTCGATCCCCGTTTTCTCTGTGTAGCAATTTGTCCGGCGTGAACGCACAGGCCGGAACCAGGCCCCTCAGCAAACATTTGTAAATGTTTTCTCACCAGAATTAGAGAGCCCTCCCCTTCCTCCTTTCCACATGAGGTATATTTGCTGTTGATAAAGCTTGGTTTTTTTTTTTTGGAAACACTTATTTTTTAAATACCAAAAAAAACAATGTTTACAGCATCAGAAGACAACCAGTCATAACCAAAAACCCTACTAAGCACCGCATCTTCCCCAAGCAGGGAAGCAGCCCCTTCCCACACCAATCATCAAGCGACTCCGCCTCTGCTGCCCAAGTATGTCTAGAAGCCTTACTCCCCTTCTCTTCTTCCTCCTCGTAGGAAACCTCACCCAGGACCTACTGGTATTCCCAAGTGTTGATTTTACATTCAATCATCGCCATCCCATTTTATTTATAAAGAAGCGTTTCTTAGGGACGCAGCTAAAAAATAAAACTCCTTCCAGGCTTGGTCCGAAAGGCCCACCCCCTCGGGGGTGCCCCTGGCTCAGAAGCCAGTCTGCCACGTCCCAGTTTCGTCTCTTCGATTCTGTCTGTGTGTCAGCATCTCTTGGCTTGTTTGTGAGAGACCATCCACTTACTTCTCCTTGCTGTCTGTCAGTGCGTTGTTCGATGCCTGGGTGTGTATACTCTGTACACAGTATCACTGTATGTTACATGAATAAAGGGAAGGCTTCTTTCCTGAGTCTCTTTACTGGTACATTGGACAACAACCCAAGAATCAGGGAATCAGGAGGTCAGTCAGCAGGCTGTCCCCTCCCTACGGCCCTCATTCCTGTGCTAACCTTTACTCCTGAGCAAAGAGGACAAAGTGTAGACAGACCTGTGGAGGTGCCTGCTGGCAGAGGAAAGGGAAGTGGAGGGGTTCCCAGTACAGCAGTGAACAAAAAAGCAGGCACCCCCAGAACCCGAGTGCTTATACCACCGATGGCTCTGCCCTCCAACGTCTCTGCCTGTGAATCCTGTGGCATCCCAGCCCAGATACACAGACCCCTCCCCCAGTGGGCTCTTCCCCAAATATCTTTTATCTGTCTGAGATCCAGTGATAAATATCTTCAGCATTAGAATTATACCCAACTTTCCAAGCAAACAGAGACCAGACACGAGCCTGAGGCTGGATTGGGCTTTATTGTTAGCAGAACCCCTTAGGTGGAAACAGAAGGGACAAGAGTTGGATTCATGCGGCCCAGGCACCACCAAGCCAGGGGGCCCTTGCCCCTTCCCCTGCCCCTTCTAGAGAGCTCTGATGAGCTACTCTATGAGCCCAGCCTCCAAAGCTCCTCACTGCCACCCACCTTTCTTGGGTGGCAGCTTCTTAGCTGGGCCTAAGTCTGGGGGCAAGGACAGCCAGGCCTGGTCAGATGACCCTACGCTCCCCCACCCCGGGTACTCCCTACAGGAGGGAGGATAGTGAAAATGCAGGCACCGTCTGGGTCTCCTGGACTCTTGGTGGGCATCAACATGCATTTCTTGCTTGGGCCAGTCCCTGAGCTCATAAACCCCCTTCACACACTGGCCTAGGCAGCTGATCTCAGGCAGTGGGTAGGACAGCGGTAATGCCCAGCATCTTCAAGCTGGAGCCATTCCCCTCACCTGGGTGAGCCGGCATTACTCTCCCAGGAAGCCCCCCAAGTCCATGGAGACAGTAGTCAGGGGCAGACACCGGGGACCAGGAAGTCGAAGGAAGGAGGCTGGGGTCTTACTGCAACAGACCTGCTCGCATCTGGAAGGTCAGCCCGTCGCCCCTTGTGGCTTGCTGCAGGAAAGAGGCAGGCACGTAAGAGAGGGAAGCCTCCAAGTGGGCAGGGGCGGGGGCCCGGGCGGCCAGGGGAGGGACTACTACCTTGTTAATCTCCTTGTGTCTCTCTTTGGTGACAATTTCTTCCAGAACTTCACCATCCCCCTTAATGAGTCTAGAACAGAAGAACAGTCGAGTGGGTGGGTGACCCTGGGGCCTGGGTTGGGGGCACTTGCGACAGGGGAGAATGGAAGGACAGGCAGGAAGCCTCTCCCCCAGGGGGACCAGGACCTCAGGAAAGGATCACTGCCTGCAGCCTGCATCTAGTCTAATCCATGCACAAAAGGAATCCCCCCCACCAGTGAGAGGGACCACCTGCTAGGACAGCCCACTCCACACGGGGAGGAAAGTTTTCCTGACACGGAGCCTCAGTGGGCCTCCTTGTACCTTACTATTATAACACAGCAGCAGGGAAGGAGCCTCCCAGGACACACAAGGCCTTCCTTCCTTCCTTCCTGCTGAAAAGAAGGCAGGCAGCAGGCCTGGATCTGTGACAGGCTAGAAGCGGGGACGTTATCAGGATGAAATGCAAGCTCCCAGCCAAGTACCCCCCCTGTGAACATGACCTCAAGGGCAGAGCTGTTCTGGCCTCATGTCAGGAGGCCTCCCATGGTTTGTCCTATCCACCACGCTCTCCCCTCCCTCACCCTCGAATGCCCTCATCTCCCCAAGGGGCTGGGCAAGAGAGGGACAATGCCCTGGGAGAAGGAGCCTGCTGTCACGGGATGGTCAGACTGAGCACTAGGTTCAGAGTAAAGAAGCCCTGGGTTCCAAAGCCACACTTACCAGCCGTGTGACCCTAGGCAAGTACTGTATTCAAGCTCCTCTTATCCATACAGTGAGGCAGCACTGGACTCTGACATCCCAGAAGGGGAGAAGAGTGGGATCAGAACCAAAAGGGACCTTCCAGGACCACCTGGGCCCAACCACGCCTCATTTCACCAACATGGAAACAGACCACATCATCTGACCTGAGACACCACCCCAGGAGTTTATAGCGGAGGCAAAGGCAGCTTGAAGCCAGGTCCTCGGCCCGCCTCCAAGTCCAGAATCAGGTCTGGGCTCAAGTCGGTGCCTTCCAAGGCTGGCCCTTGTACAGGCTCATGCAGCAGCTGCCGGGCCAGCCAGGGGCCCCCGTCAGGCCAGGACCAGCCTGGGGAATCTGAGGGTAGGAGAGCAGGGCTTGGGCTACCCCTCACTGTCTACTTTCTCAGCTATAGCCACAGCACGGATGGATAAGCCAAAGGTTATTTCAAGCAGGAGCTGGAATCAACAGCGATTGCTGATCTCTACTGCTCTCGCTGCTGTCTGAAATAGGCCGAGACTCACTCACGGAGACTCACGTGGCTTTTAAGATTCTGAGGGAGGACATGGGGAATGGGTGGGAATGGCCCTGCTCCTTTCTCTCCCCTTCTTCCCACCGCAACATGGCCCTAGAGCTGGGCCCAGATCCCGAGCTGGCTGGGGATTTCTCCCCTGTCCCTGAAATGCCCCTACCTCGTACGACCTGTCTCAGGGTCCACCACCTTGCGGATGACGCTCTGCCGGGCATCCCACTCCTCTTTGGTCATTGGCTTCATGGCCTGGATGCGGGACTTCTGCTCATCTGTCAGCACTACACCCCAGGCCCCAAAAAGAACAGGAGTCAGTGCCAGCCAGGGGAGGCCTCCCTGAAGGAGGGCAGAGCCCTGGATTTGTAGTCAGTGGGCCGGACACCTGAGGACCCCCCTGGGAGGGAAGGGAGGGCACGTACATGACAGAGTGAGTGAACACGTGTCTGCAGTGACTCTGGCCGGGAAGGTCTAGTCACCCACAGCCATTTGACTCACAGTCCAAGGGGAAGGGGGAGGGGAATACGCATTTCTTAAGGACTGACTGTGCCAGACACTGTATGCTAAGCGCTTTACAAACATTATCTCACACCCCAGAGGCTGGAGAATTGAACTCTGAGGCTAAGGCCAGGTTACACTGCCTGGTTTGGCATTGAGGGGTGAGGAGTAGAGACTCCCTGGTGACCCTGGGCTGTCACCCCAACTCTGAAATCCTGAGGTTCCTCATCTTTCAAAGTCAATTCAAGGTTCTCCATACAGAACAGAAAGGAGGTTTTGGGGGCAAAAGAATTTACCATCCTGTCAGACTCAGGTTCTGGGCAGGACTTTCCCCTCTTTTCTTTGTCATTTGGGGATGACTCTGATGTCGGGAAGGGGGTGGGATTTATATGGAAATGAAGATGATGTAAAAACAAAATTGTAAAAATTTTAAATTACAGGAGGCCTTTGCCCAGTAAAGTGTAAACAGAACCAAGAAAACAATATACACAATAACAACAATGGAAGTGGAAAATACCAAATCAACCAGAAATGAAATGGCAGGCGATCATAACCACCAAGTTTGGCCCTGGAGAAGGCAGGAGAAAATGCAGCCTTTGCAGAAGGGGGGGGACGAATCAAAGAAAAAGGAAAAGGACCTCCGTGTACAAAAAGATTTAGAGCAGCTCTTTTTGTGGTGGCCAAGAACTGGAAATTGGTGGTGGCCCATCAACCGGGGAATGGCTGAACAAGCTGGGGTATATGAATGTGATGGAACTTGTGCTGTAAGAAATGATGAGCAGGCAGACGTCAGAAAAACCTAGGAAGACTTGAATGGACTGACGCAAAGCTAAATGTGCAGAACCAGACCATTATATACAGTAACAGCAATACCGTGATGAGGATCAACTGTGAAAGATTAGCTAGTCTGACCAAGACGGAGATCCAAGACAATTCCAAAGGACTTATGATGAACATGCCTCAATCTCCAGAGAGAGAACTGATGAACTCTGAGTGCAGAAAAAAAGCAGTGGGGGGCTAGGGGTGTGAGGCACTGCATCCACCATCAGTCTCAGGTGTTGTGTTGTCTTGGTTCACGTTGCTGACAGGGATAAGGACCTGTGATGTCAACGGCCTGGGGGTAGTCCTAGATAAGGAAACTCCCTCTAATAAAGTAGGCCCTTCTTTGCCCCAAGCCAGGGTCACTGGGAGGTTTAAGCGACTTGCCCAGGGCCACAGAGCCAGGATGGATCAGAGGCAGAAGCTTCCTGGATCCAGGATCAAATGAGATCATGCACGTAAAGCTCTTTGCAAACACAGACACACCACCTGAATACTGGCTACTCTTCCTCCTGGCGCAGGGCCCATGGGCTGGGGGCCCAGCCGGCATCCCTCCGCGCTCCCCGGGAGAAGCCAAGCCTCTAGTCTGGCCTGCACAGGTGGGGAGGGGGCCACCCACCCCCACCCGCCCTTACCTGGGCCGCTCTCCACCAGGGGCTCTTTCCGCCACTGGTCCAGCGAGGGGCCCGGCATCTCCTCCACCACCTTGGCCTTGGTCGCCTTCTCCTTCTCCTTCTTCTTCTCCTTCTTCTTCTTCTTCTTCTTCAGCTTCTTCTTTGCCTTCTTCTTTGAGCTCTTCTTGTCCTTACGCTTCCCACGCTTTTTCCTGCCCCCACTGGAGGCCCCCGAGGAAGAGGAAGAGGAGGGAGAAGAGGAGGAGGAGGAAGAAGAGGAGGACCTGGGCCGCCTTCTCTTCCGGGCTTTGTCCCTGCTTCTCTCTGCATGTGAGGAGAGGGGCCAGTGAAGGAGCCCCCTCAGAGGCCCGGCCTGAGGGGGGTACACCTTCCCCCCCAAAGAAGCTAGACCTGCATGGGCGCCCTGGAGAGAGCACGAGCAGACGGGTGTTCCTCTTGTCTTCCTGCCTGCTTCCCTTCTCTCCCTCCTTCCTTCCTCCTCTCCCTCCCTGCCTCTTTCCCCTTCTTCCTTCCCCTCTTCATCCCCTCCTTTCCTCCCTCCTTTTCTTCCTTCCTTCCTTCTCTCCCTCCTTTCCTCCCTCCTTTTCTTCCTTCCTTTCTTCTTTCTTCCCTTCCTTCCTTCTCTCCCTCCTTTCCTTCCTTCCT